AGACTGAACTTGGGATCTCATAAATCTAAAGCAAGCGTGAAGATTAGAAGGACCAAGATCTGATGCAAAGAAGGTGAGAACTGACAGGCCATTACAATAACAATGCACAAGAAATTATTGGTTCTTGCTCATTTAGGAAACACAGGAGGAAATGTACTGTAATATTTGAACCTGAGATATATAACTCTCTATATTGAAGTCTGACACTTAGTGTTGTAATAGGTTGTAATATATGAGTGTCTGTGGAAACCATCTCCTGGTGGCAAAATGTGTGCATAGACTCTCAGGGTCAGCTAGATGGTAGCATCTGGTTGACCTTGGCAACCCACAGAAACCTAGGAAGATTTGGATTTGGCTAGTATTTGGCTGGAAACCGCTAGGAAACAATGGATGGATCAAGGAGAGAAACAATGCAGAACTAAGGAAAAATTTCCTAACAGTGAGAACAATTAACCCATGGAACGGCTTGCCTTCAGAAGTTGTGGGTGTCTCATCGCTGGAGGCCTTTAAGAAGAGACTGGAGAGTCGCTTGCCTGGAATGATGTAGGGTCTCCTGCTTGAGTAGAGAGTTGGACTAAAAGATCTCCAAAGTCCCTTCCAGTCCTGTTTATTCTGTTGTTCTGCTAAATATCACTATGTCTACCTTGGGAAGTTTTTTAAAAAATGGAAAAAATGCAGTGATGAACCTCAGTATTGTTGTTGCGATGAAAAGTATGAGGATTTTTCAATGTCATAATCAGGAGTCCAAGCTGATTTTCAAGGAGACTTCAGTTTATGGGTTCTCAGACAGCTTTAGCAACTACTACACTTGTATGTCAATTTGCGGAAAGCTATGGCTGCCGTGATTTTATGGCTCATATAGCACAGGGGTTGCTTGGCCAGATAGTGGAATTGCATTTCCAGAAACAATTGCAACTGAAAGCTAGTGTGATACCATCCGTGATCACAAGGACTTTTGAGTGTACACTGCAAGCTTGGCATTAACCCAAGACTACACTTTGCTTTGCATATGCACATGACAACGTAAATGTCACATCTCACATGTGGCTTAGTCTCATATCTATGCTTAGATGGACTGTGCACTCTTTTACGCAATACCTGCACTTGTGATATCCCTGCTTTGATGTGTCTGATGTATGCCCATATCCACAAATACAGATTACCAGCCTTTCTTTTAGTGCAAACATTTTCCTGAGAGATGGCAGAGAAATATTACTTAAAGAGTTAAAATGGAACACTCTTGAAAACTGAAAGATGATTTTTCTGAGCTCAGAAAGACAAAAACTACCCCCAAATACTCTTGATTTTATGTTCCTCTTTTATTCAAACACAAGATGAAAATTGTCAAAATAAGATATTAATTCTCCTGTTGCTTCCTGCCCCTTCCCAAAATGAAACTCATGTACATTCAGTAAAGACTATTCTGGACTAAAGAACATAAGGCTTGTTTGCTTTTTCGTCAACAGCAATTACTTGATGAAGAGTGTCTCTATTTTCTTCTCATAGTTTACTATTAGCCAAAGGGTCCTTCTGTGATCTGCCAGAAGTGCTTCTATGGCAACAAAAAGCATTCAAGTATTGCTCTTGTCTTGTTTAATTTATCATTAAAAGCCTCTATTATATTTTGGGGAGCTAGGTGAAAGATGGTACATTAAGAATAAATAAAAGTGGAGAAAGCAGCATCCCCCTGCCTCCAAAAAGCAGCAATAAAATAGAAAAAAACAGATACACAAAAAAACTCCACTGGAAAAAAAACCACAAAGACAAGTGTTTACAATTTTGGGCCAGGGACACAGGAGAAGGTTTTTAAAAATAATCTCTCTTCCATTACCAAATGTTATGTACCGGATCACATCAGCTTTGATAATCATAAAGACAGTGTCAGTCCTCTTCTACTCAGTTTTCATGTTTGGTGTTTGAAAGAGCAAGAGTAAGGATTAAATATGAAATGTAGCCTTCCACAACCCTGTTCTCTCCAGATGAGGAGGGGTATCAATACCTTTAATTCCCTAGCCAGCGTGGTCAAATTTGAAATCTCACACATCTGAAAAGCATCAGGATGGGAAAGATAGAGGAGATAGAAGCTTCATTTTTAGACTCATTCCTTCTGTGCTTAGGAAGAAAATATGTTACCATGTTTCCCTGAAAATAAGACCCTGTCTTATATTTTTTTGAATCCTGAAATAAGCACTTGGCCTTATTGCCATGCGCTCAAAAGCCCGATTGGGCTTATTATCAGGGGATGTCTTATTTATTTTATTTATTTATTTATTTATTTATTAGTTCGATTTATATGCTGCCCTTTTCCAGAGACTTATTTTGGGGGAAACAGGGTAGATATTAAGTTTATGCATGTACTCAACATACACATATTAACCAATGACTACTTTAGCAGCAACTATCCTCCAATGGCAAATGGCAGCCACTGTGGGAAATTCCATCAGAAAAGATACTTTCACTTTTGACTAAATCTCTTTTCTGGACATAAATAAGAAATTTGTTTTCAGGGTTCTGAGCTCTAAACAAATTCTATTGAAACAGTGTACTATAAATACTTCTCATTTCATATTGTTTCTTTCTTGAAAGTGCAATGAATGTGATAAATGATCATAGCTGATACTCACATGATAGATATACTGTTCCGATACCAGCAATTTCATTATGTTAATTTCTCATCTAACCTGTGCCAGGTTGATTAAAGCACCTGCTTTATTCACTGTTGTTAAATCAGACTTTAATTTCTTCAAATCCATTCCCAAAACTGGAAATCTTTGATGCAGCTGGAATGTACTACTCTCTCAATTTCTTACTGAATTTAAGGAGAATTGGTTCTGTCTTCAGGTACAAGGCAATTCCATCTGATGAAGTGATGTGAAATTCAAGGAGTATTTCAAGCTTCATGTGAAGAGATACAATTTTGCCAATATTTTCAATATTCACGTTGAAATAATATCTGAGACACGAGTTATAAAAGAAAGCCCAGTCTCTAGTATTACAAACATGGAACAGCAACAGATAATTAACAGAATAACAGAATTGGAAGGGACCTTGTAGGTCATCTAGTCCAACCCACCCACCCAAGCAGGAGACCCTACAGCATTTCTGACAGATGGCAGTCCAGTCTCTTTTTGAAAGCTTCCAGTGATGAAGCTCCCACAACTTCTGAAGGCAACATCTGTTCATTGGTTGATTGTTCTCACTGCTGGAAAATTTCTTGTATTGAAATTGAAAAATATTTCTTGATGGAAGATTAAAAAATGGAAACTGATTCGTGAAGGTATCAAAACTGTAGGAGTATTCCATCCAAGTTGAAAATGGATATATACTTTCGTTCAATATACTAATAAACAGGGTTTAGTTAGCAGTGATTGTATATTTAAGCATTATCCCTTAAAATCACCTAGAAGCAATAGAAGCAATCTAAGTCATGTATATACCGGTACAGTACCTATGTGGATACAGGTAGACCCAAAGGTGATTTTTTCCAAAAGTCAACTGGACTGTCTTGGTTTTTTTCTTTGAAAACATTTCGCAAAATGAGAAGCGAAATGTTTTCAAAGAAAAAACCCAAGACAGTCCAGTTGCACCTTTGAGGAAACCTGGATGATTGAGAATCTCCAGAGATGATACAGGTAGAATTTTCCATTTGCCCAGGGAAAACAAGTAAATATTAGCAAATTGAACAACTTGGGAAAGTTGTTGTCCAAACTTGGGAAAGCAAAGTTGTCCAAAGTCAAAACCAGAAAAATAATGTTAGTTTATTCAAGCCTATCTCACAAAGAGAAATTAATTTCAAAAAAATCCCAAATTGTTCAATGATTAAAATAGAAATCCTGGTAAAGAATTATTGGCCTTTGAACTTGCCTTGCCTTTGAACTATAATTGTTGATACTTATATTAGAAACCTACAAGGGACTCTCTCTCTCTCTCTCTCTCTCTCTCTCTCTCTCTGTGTGTGTGTGTGTGAGTTGAGTGTGAGTGTGAGTGTGAGTGTGAGAGAGGGGGGTGCTAACTTTAAAAAAAATGGGGGTGCTAATGGAATATTATGTTACCTTTCCTTAACTTTGATAATGTCTAGCTAAGAATATCTTATCTAATTAGATATGGAGTTGTATGAACTGATCAAGCCTGATTGTCCTATGCATTCTGAAACTGTTTTAGGGAAGGTTCTCTGAAGGTGTTTTCCATAGTTATCACTGACCATCTAGCTTATAAGACGTATTTGAAGCCAGCTCCCAGAAAACATGTATTGGGTGTAAATATGCATATTTACACCCAATACAGAGGGCAACCCAGAGAACATATTTCTCAGTTTATCCTCCAAGCTATGCTCCTGAAATCAGTAAGATGATGCGTATTCAGATAGTCTCAAATTACAATGGTAAATTGGACTGTAATTTGCATTGTTAAGTGATGACAGATGACAATCCTGGTAGTCCCAGTTGCCATCAACTGAATTCCACAGATCATTAGGTGAGGACCAATCCGAATCCAAGCCATTCCCAGTTTAGATCCCCCTCCTCTCCTCCCACCCCACAAGCCTTGGTTAAGATAGGAAAGTACAAATTAAACTCCTCAGGTCCCATTGTAAAGCGTCTAATATGAAGTACTTGTCTGCTGTGAGACTTATGCATAGGATATCCTGATCTGCACTGAATGTTCCAAGAGCCATATTGTTTGGTCTGTAACCTGACAAGGGTAATTTCCTTTACAGCATATGATAAGTGGGAACTTTCTTTCAAGCCCTTAAAATGACTCAAATATTTTTGGATCATAAACATTTTTCCAAGGTAGCCCGAAGCGTTTCTGAAAAATTTAGCCATTTCTTGAATAGTTTCAAATTGTAGGGTATAAGATGCATTGAAAAATCGAACTTTTAACTTCTCCTTCTCAAAATTCATAATATGAAGCCTGTCTAAATGTACAGGTGACCAGCCTTGCAGATGGAAGATCATCTACACAAGCAAATGCAATGCCGTCAAAGGAGAATAAAAACTCACCATCCCAGCTACATGAAAGGTTCTTAATTTGCTTGGAGTGGAGATGTTCCTCCTCCTCAGGGATAGTGGGGAGAGCTTCCATAGCTTGATAACTCTTGTAACTTTGGTAGACTCCGTGGGAGGCATCCTCAAAGTATTCCTCCGAGGTGTGGGGGGTGGTTCCTTCCTGCTCAGGCCAAATCAAATCAAGATCTGAAGATTCAGGTGAAGCAAGATCTTGACAGGATGATGAAGATTGATGAGATTTCTCACTCTCCTGACTTGAAATACTGTCATCATCAGAACCTACAGAGTAGCGTTCATAAAGCCCATCACTGTCTTCTAAATCCTCATCTTCCCCATCAAATCCATTTTGATCTGGTTTGCTTCCCAGATTATTCAACGAAGAAGATAAGGATTCTCCTGCTTGCTGGAAAGCCTCATAGACTCGAGATATCCAGGAGGAAAAAGGCTGGAAGAAGCTTAAGACATCCTCTGAAGCCATACTTTTATATATTTAATGAGCAAAACCTGTGATGGTCATAAATTCCAGCTGTTCCTCTTTGCCAGCGTATCAGATTCAGTGCTCTGTGAGCTACAGAATAAGCATTACAAGAAATTAGTTGGAATCATCTGTTCTTAACAATGGTCTTTGTTAATCACCAAATCTAGCTAAGAAGATAGAACCCAAGAAAAAGAAGAACCCGGGCAGTATTTGATTTTACCCTAAATGCATCAAAGTAGAGAATGATTATGAAAAATGTTCATAAGTATGTAATTGGAAAGGGCTTAATTAAATCTCACCGCACATATTTATTCATATGAAAGTTCTAGATTCAAACCCTAGCAAATCTAGGAAGGGCTAAAAAACTATCTTGATGGGTTATTACAAGTTATATAGATAATAAGAAGACAGGAGGCATTTATCAGATTAATATAAGACAGATTCATCCTAAGTGGCAAACACAACTAAATCAAAACATCTGGAATAAATCCTGAATACAAATCAATGGAACACTCAATAGTTTGATTTTTTAAAAAAAGGTGAAGTACCTATATCAGTATGTTGTTAAAACCTTGCAGGAAGAACAAAACAAAACTTCTAAGCATCAAACTATTTCTTGCTATGTCTATCCCTATCCCCATCCCTATTAAGTCACCCAAGCTGTCAACTGCTATTATGAATCCAGCTTGCCTGCAGCATTTGTAGGACAAAGTTATTTGCAGCCAAGAAAGAAGCAGCTGAGATTAGACAGCCCTCACACAAATGTAATTCAACTGATATTAACCACTGATACTGAACAGGCTCATATTTTATATTAAGTCATGATTTAAGGTATCTAATGATGGTTTATAAACCATTAACAGCTGGATTCACATGATATGTGTTTATGGATTAAGACATTTAATACACTTTACTGATAACTGGTAGGATGAAACTTACTAATAGAATACAAAGACTGATGAATATAATTTATACAAAAGAAACAAGCCAGACAAAAGGAAGGTGAGGAAGATTGGCATTATATGCGAAGGAAATAAATATTATATATTAAGATCCAGGAATTTGAATGCAATTTGAGGGTCCAGATGAGAGCATCTGAATAAGAATACAAAGAAGAGGAAACAGCAAATATATTATTCTGCTATATGTTGTTAATTGTTATGCTGAACAAACAATCTAGTTATTGCCATCCTTGATCAGGATGTAAGATACAATAATAATAACAGGGGGCCCCTCAACTACCTGCACCCTTTCTGGAAAACCAAGTCAGACAAGAATGCAAGATCCCAAAAGTTCTTTCATACTTGTTCAATTTTTAGAGAGAACAACGAAAGATAAATAGGATAAATTGCTCTAGATTTGATCCTAACTAGTATGGAAGACATGGTTGAAGAGATAAATGCAACAGATTACTTTGGTAGACAGTAATCATGTCATCCTGGGGTTCTGGCACACTCATTAATGCATTCATGCATTCTAACAGGTCAAGTTTAAACTTTGAGAATACTAGGTGCAGAAATTCTCAGGTCAAGTGAAAAGAGGAAAGCCGGGACTGAAAGTATAGTTGCATACAAGTCTAATGATAAAATGGGGGTGGGGGGGAGGCAATTTAGGAAGTTTAACAAGACACATATACAGTGCATCAGCAAATAGCAATTACCTGCAGAAAGAAAATTAGAAAATTGAAAACACAAAAGACGGGATACACTAGAAGCAACAAAATGGCCTTTTTGGCTTGCAGTATTTAGAAGAAGAAAAAAAGAAGAGGTCATACAAGAAGATGGTAGGATAGTAACAGCTGACTTTGCATCAGTAATCTTTCAAAAGGAGTGTATCTTAATTTCAGCAAACTATTTGATTATGTTACCCATGGGAATCTAGGATAAAAGATGGAAAAATATGGGCTGGAATAGTCTTCATAGCTGGTTAATCCAATCCACTATATCCAATGAGTGCACATTAACTGCTTCAGGGTTGCATTCTAGACCCTGTGTTGATCAAAATATGTATAAATGATTTCATTGAAGGCAGAATTATTATTATAAATTTGTAGTCAACACAAAAATGGGGAATAGCAACTACTTTAAAGAAAAGTGTCAAGGTTCTGAAAGATCTTAAGCTGAAACCATGGATAGAAATCAGCAAAATGAATGATAACAGCAACAAAATGTTGCCAAATTATGGAGGTGATTCCGTTTGTACCAACTATTCCAAGACCTTTGAAAATGAGCCCCATTCTATATCTGGATGGTTGTTGGTTCTGAGAAGCCATTTACATTTGTCTCTTTATATTTTATTGGTGTGTTACTTTCAGCCCATTTCTCTAGATCATTTTGAATCTTATTTCTGTCTTCTAGTATATTAGCTATCCCACACAATTTTATGACAATTGATATACCTTCTACCTCTTCACCCAAGTCATTAATAAAAATATGGAAGAACAAAAGTGCCTTCTCTTCGGTTATATAGTTTAACATTCTACCTCATAAACAGTCACAGCAGATACAGGCACCTAGCAACCTTTGCCAAGTTCAAAAGCTATGCAGAGCTACAGTAGATCTAGAGTGGGACATTACTAGAAAATCCTAGGGCTATAGGCAAGACTGGAAAGGAAAAGAAGAATCTTGTTAAGAGGATAGTACCTAATCCCTTTCATAATGTTGTCCCTAAACCTACATGGGCACATTCAAGCTCAATGCTAGGATGCATTTATCTTACTATTTATCTTATTTATCTTACGTACTAAGCGTAGTACACAAAATTATCTGCTACAACGTCCTACTTCAGCTTCAAACGCAATAATACACGAGCACACAATAGATACACAGATACAAACTTAAGGTAAACCACTCCAAACTCGATTGCAGAAAATATGACTTCAGCAATAGGGTGATCAATGCCTGGAATGCACTACTTGACTCTTTGGTTTCATCCCCAAACCCCCATAACTTTAACCTTAGACTGTCTACTGTTGACCTCACCCCATTTCTAAGAGATCTGTAAGGGGGATGCATAAGCGCATCAACGTGCCTACTATGCCTGTCCTACTGTCCCCACTTTTTGTACCCATTTCCTGTATACATAATCATATTTATACTTATATCTGTTATCTTATACATGCTTGGCAAAATAAATAAATAAATAAATACTCATTTCCTATTTTCATGATTTACAAAGTTTGAATATCTTTCTATTCAGTTAATTGCTATTCATAGTAATGGGACCTGGCAAGAGATTCATGAGTTGATATCAAAGACATCAACTGGAGGGCATCCATACCAGAAGCCAGTCAACGTAATGGGGGGAAATGGAACATGGCACAGTTAAGGCAGGGAAGTGGTTGCTCCGGCAGAAATAATCCTGCTTTTGACAGAAGATCCTCTTCGTTTTGGTTTTAAGTGCATGGGCAGGAATGTGAACAAATAAAACTTGATTGCCCTGTCACATTTAGGTCTTGATAGATTTGACTTAGAATTTCAAAAGTCCAAAACTTCTTTCAAAATAATGCAGCCCACTCACACCTAGTTTTTCAGCCAAGTTTCCTTTTGCTGTGCTACAGTAGTTGCATTCCAATTGGAGCTGTACTTTTCCCCAACTCCCAGCTAGTATAATCCACCTGCTTTCAAAAGCTGTGGTTAGAATCAATATAAATCTTTCCATTATAAGTATATATTTTCAAGGTTTTACTCGTCAATGACATGTAAGTGAAAGAATCACTTTCAAATGCAAATCACTACAGCTTGGAAGCAAATGAATTCCCCTCCTCCTTCCCACTCTACTCGATTTTAAAACTTCCCCTGTTTATTAATCATTCACTTTTTAAAAAGCTTCAGTAAATATATGTTTGCAAGATCATCTCTGGCAGCTCCAAAAAAATGTCAACACCCACATAAAGGGAAGGAGAGATGTTGTCATTTAGAAAGGCCCCTCCATCATGCTATTTGTCAAGAAGAAGAAAGATTTTGCAATACTCACACAAAAGAATATCAGTGTTTATGTAACACGGGTACTATGATAGAGAAGAAAATAAAAAAAAGCTGAGCACAAGTACTGTAGAACTAGAAACAAGTTTAAAACTATGGGTGGCGAGGATCAGGATCATACTACACACACACAAACACACACACCTCTCAATATCTACACATCTATGCATGGAAAGTGCCTCTTTCTGTGGACAGCTGTGGCCAGGAGGACTTTCTGTGGACCGCTATGGCCAGGAGGACTTTCTATTAGGTTCGCCTGATTTGCCAGTTGCGTCCCTTTTTGGATCGGAACTCCTTATGCACGGTCACTCATGCCCTCGTCACTTCCCACCTGGACTACTGTAATGCTCTCTACATGGGGCTCCCCGGAGGCTCCAACTGGTCCAGAATGCGGCCACCCGGGTGGTTATGGGAGCAACATGGCGCTCCCATGTAACACCTCTCCTGCGTGAGCTGCACTGGCTCCCAGTGGTCTTCCGGGTGTGCTCCAAGGTATTAGTTACCACCTTTAGAGCGCTCCATAGTTTAGGACCTGGGTACCTATGAGACTGCCTTCTGCCACCAGTAGCCTCTCACCGGCCAGTACGCTCCCACAGAGAGGGGCTCCTCAGGGTGCCGTCAGTCAAACAGTGTCGACTGGCAGCCCCCAGGGGGAGAGCCTTCTCTGTGGGGGCACCTGCCCTTTGGAACGAGCTCCCCCCGGAGATACGGAGGATCCCGGATTTACGCACTTTCCGCCGTGCCCTCAAGACTTTTTTATTCCAACAAGCTGGGCTGGCCTAACTCTTTTTAATTACTTAATTTTAATTTGCTTTTTAAAAAAGGGGTGTTTTAATTAGTATGGGCCAAATTTGTTTAATATGTTTTAAATTGTTTTTTAAACTTTATATTGTATGTGTTTTATCTTTGGCTGTTCACCGCCCTGAGTCCTTCAGGAGAAGGGCGGTGTATAAATCCAAATAAACCTTAAACCTTAAACCTCTTTCGTGCACTGTTAAACGTGTATACCCAGTTTTATATTTATCAGGATTACATATGTTAGACATTAAATACACTATTTTTAGCATGTATGTGCAAAGAAGATAATCTGCTTTGCAGAATCTGTCTGCAGTTCAACCAAACCCACTACGCTTTCCAGAAGCAAACATCTATACTCCTTGAAGTGATTCCAATCAGGAAGGTCCAGAAAAAAATGGTCAACCTCTTTTGCAGCTGCACATTGCTTAGAGATCCAACTAACTATAACTTTCTAATTTGCCTTATCTAATATTAATAAACTTCCATCACTGATAAAATAGAACAAGCTAGAATCTTAGGCTCTGAAGCTGATTTCAGATCCTAGCATATGGCAAAGTTGGTAATTTTGGTTTTGATATAACAGGAAATGATTAATTGGGAGCTTCTGGATCGCAATTGTGTCATGCCACAAAAAAAGGATATAAGGGTTATGCATTTGATCAAGTATTTATTACTCGTACTGCTCCCATTTTCTTGACTTTTCACAAATTTTTCTGTTGGTTGGGGATCAGCATTTCAACATTTTTAATGGTGAAAAAATACTTTATTCTGCTATGATATCATAAACAACCAATGAGGAAGTTCTGTAAACCCAGATAAAAATGCTGCAAGAATATAGTGAGTGTGAGTGTGAGTGGATGGATGGATACATACATACATACATACAAACAGACAGACACTAACTATATCCTTTGCATACATCTTAATTTTATATTTCAAATGTTATGTTGCATAGTATGTCTTATTTTAATTGTGATGCTTCTGACATGAATAAACAAACATAGATCCCAATCTGAAGGGAGCCAAGTATCTATCACCAAGCAGAAAGCACACAGAAAGCAAAATTGTGAATCACCCGGGTGGCTCATGCCTTGTGTCCAAATTCTTGCAGGTTAAAAAAGAGATAAGCTGCAATACAATGCGTGTTGTGATTTATTTTTGGAAAGAGAAAAGACTGATTATAGTGCAAAGATTATAGGCATAGGGAAACATTAAGGCAGCTGTTCTGGCTAAGCTAAAGCTTTGCAATTTGCATGCAATCAATATCAAAACAGAAATAAGTTATTAAAATCTACAAGAGGATAATTGTTCTTGCTGCTGATACTGTTGTTGCCAGAATACTGCGTATTACTTACCAAGACCCTCCCGAACCCCAGATTTTTCTTTGTAGTGCTTGTGCTTCCCTTGTTGCTCCAAGCAGGGAAGACCTCCAATCTTTTCAAAACAGAGCTTCTTGTTGATGAAGAGGGAGAGGACTGCAAGGAGAACTATAAAGACCCCAACAGCAGAGAGGAACCCAATTGCTTCAGGAGTAACTGGGAATAAAATGAGAGAAAGCAAATAGAATAAATGGGAGGTTGTACAAAATATGGCAGAAATGCATGAGTTGCATTTGCTACATTATGAGCGTGCAGATATTGGAGGTGTTTACAGGGATCACCAGGAAGGGAGAATGAGTGTGTTGTAGCAGTTAAGATGCTGGCTTAGGAGCAACTATCCTAGTCCATCCTCAACCACAGAGGCTCAAGGACCCCAAGGACGTTGAGTCCCTTTCAAGCCAGCTCAACTAACAATGTTATTGTTATGGGGAAAAAACAGGAAGGGAGGATGCTACGAGGTCCTAAATGAAATTACAGATATACAGCTAATAAATAAATAAATATTACTTGGGCATCATGATGAAAATAATCACTTCTGCCATCCCATCCTAATTTGCAATGAACCACAATACATTTCTATGAAAAATGGAGAATGCAACCTCTGAAAGTCTACAACTAGTGCAGCCTTCCTCAAACTGGTGGTGATGTTTAACTCCACAGCTATTTGATATACAGGTGGTCCTCAGCTTACAACAGTTCGTTTAGTGACAGTTCAAAGTTGCAACGACACTGAAAAATGTGACTTATAACTGTTTTTTCACAGTTAAGACCTTTGCAGCATCCCCATGATCATGTGATCAAAATTCAGATGCTTGGCAACTGGTTGCAATGTCGCAGTGTTATGTGATCTCCTTTTGCAACCTTTTCACAAGCAAAGCCAACGGGGAAGCCAGGTTCATTTAACAACTGGCTTACTAACCTATCAACAGCAGTGATTCACTTAACGACTGTGGCAAGAAGAGAAGAATGAGGCAAAATTCACTTAACAAATGTCTCACTTAACAACCGAAATTTTGGACTCAATTGTGGTTGTAAGTTGAGGACTACCTGGAGTAGCTGGGGAATTAGTTGAACTTCAGGAAAGGACATGCTAAAATGACTAGACCAGTGATGGCTAATCTTTTTGCCATCGCATGCCAGGAGAGGGGGGGAGGGTCGCTCGTACACGTGCCCACACCCATAATTCTATGCGCTTGCCTTGTGCGTGCAACCGCCCTCCCCCCCCAAACTCCTGGCACACAATGGCCTGGTAGGCCCGTTTTTCTTTCTTACCTGGCTCCAGATCCTCTCTATTTATCTGGGAAGGGCAAAAACATCTTTTCCCACTCCCTTGGAGGCTCTCCAAAGGCCTGAAACGGCCCATTTCCCAACTCCCGGTAGGACAGGAAGTGACATTTTTTGCTGTACCCAGCCTCCAGAGCCTCTCTAGAAGTCTCTAGGAGCCCCTCTAGGAGTCTCTAGGAGCCTCTCTAGGAGTCTCTGGAGGCTGGGGGCAGCAAAAAATGTCACTTCCTGTCCCACCGGGAGTTGGGAAGTGGGCCATTTCAGGCCTTTGGAGGGCCTCCGAGGGCGTGAGAAAGGCTGTTTTCGCCCTTCCCAGATAAATAGAGAGGATCTAGAGCCAGGTAAGAAAGAAAAACAGGCCTCCCCCCCCCAGGCCCTCCGGAGGCAGGAAACAGCCTGTTTCCCTACTTCTGGTGGGCCCAGAAGGCCCGAAAATCAGCTAGCCAGCGGGCACATACGCCCCAGAGCTGAGCTGGTGTCCCCACTGATATGGCGACGTGTGCCACCTGTGGCACGTGTGCCATAGGTTCATCATCACGGGACTAGACTAATCACAGTAAAAAGACAACATCAAGTAGAGCTCTTGTTCCTTTGAGAGGTAACAGCAGAGAAAGTGTTTGCCATTGCCTTCTTCTGGGATTTTTTTTTTTTTAATTTCCCATCTTATTTTATAGTTTGCATTAAATCTGTTCAGCTCTGTGACTGATTTAGCATGTTAGACTAAACCAGGTTTAAAACTCCACTCAACTGCATTATTTTGCTTTGGTCCAGGGATGACAAATGTGGCTCTCCAAATGTTTTAACACTGGGTGCTGATCTGGGCTACTAAAAGCTGAAACTGAACAATATCTGTTAGCCACAGACAAACGTCTACAAGTTAGCTTTATTTTTCTAATCAGTGCACTGTTTCCATGGCAATCCTAAGATACAGCTTTGGCTAATGACCAAGAACCCTCACTCTATTTTCATAGCAGGCAAGCTTCTGAAAGAAATGTTTTACAATATACATTAATGCAAACAGAGCATCTCACTTCAGCTACATAAACCTGGTGGGTCTTTCACCAGGAACAAATCTTCAGCCACCTGTGCACATATATATGTGTGTAAATGGAGACACTTCTGCTAAGACTGTCAATGAAGTACAGTAATATTACTGCACGTGGACTTTCCTGTGGAGACTTCAAGGACAATGTAATCAGCAGCTATTGTTCAATATTGCTACAAAAATAGCAACCGATTTGGGGAACAAGCCCACCATGGCTTCCAGTCAAAAGAAACTTTAGAAGTAGCTAGCTACTGACAATTATACAGTTCCTGCCTTCCACATTGAAGACCAGCAGAAGGTACACTAGCATACAGATAGTCCTCCACCTATGACCACAATTGAGCCCAGAATTTATGTTGCCGAGTGAGAAATTTGTTAAGTGAGTTTTGCCCCATTTTATGATTTTTCTTGCTACTTGTGTTAAGTGAATCACTGGAGTTGTTAAATTAGTAACAACATTGTTAAGTGAATCTGGTTTCTCCATTGACTTTGCTTGTCAGAAGGTTGCAAAAGATTATCACATGAGCCCAGGACACTGTAACCATCATAAATGTGAATCAATTGCCAGGAGTCTGAATTTTGATCATGTGACATAGGGATGCTGCAATGGTCATAAGTGTGAAAAATGGCCGAATGCAAATGACCAGCTGTCTGCAAGGAATATACCCGTATTTTTCAGACTATAAGACGCACTGGAGTATAAGACACACCTTAGTTTTTGGAGAGGAAAATAAGAAAAAAGGGGGTGGATCGGCCTCTCAGAATACCCCCAATCAGCTGTTCCCAGAGGTGAACTTTAGCAACAGGTTCCTTGGTTGTCAGCTCTGTGCCTTGCTTTTTTTTTCAGCTTCTCAAACAGAGGTTTCAGAGGCTTTTTTTTTCAGCTTCTCAAACGGAGGTTTCAGAGGCTTTTTTTTTCAGCTTCTCAAACGGAGGTTTCAGAGGCTTTTTTTTCAGCTTCTCAAACAGGTTTCAGAGGCTTTTTTTTCAGCCTCTCAAACGGAGGTTTCAGAGGCTTTTTTTCAGCCTCTCAAATAGAGGTTTCAGAGGCTTTTTTCAGCCTCTCAAACGGAGGTTTCAGGGGTTTTTCCAGCTGCTCAAACAGAGGTTCCAGAGGCTTTTTTTGGCCTCTGAAACCTCCGTTTCAGAGGCTGGGCAGGGCTACATTCGGTGTATAAGACGCACCCAAATTTTCACCCTCTTTCTCCCACCCTTGGGGGGGGGAAAGGTGCATTTGATACTCTGAAAAATACGGTAAATCCTTCCATTCCCCACCATCAGTAAGAGCTGAAGAAGCTTCTTGGATGAAAAGCGAAAGAAAAACAAGACAGTCCAGTTGCCCCTTGAAAAAGTACCTTTGGGACAACCATGATCTGGATAACTGAGAATCTCCATAGACAGATTTACTGATTAATAAAGATAAAAATCCGATTGTCACTTCTTAATCTCCATCTACCCATGTTCTGTGCTTTTAATGATCTCATAACATACTTAAATGCTGGCCATGTATGCATACAGTTCAGGGAAAACTGCAGCTAGTGAATTCTTGGCGGTTATAAAATACAGTATTGAAAATCTGAGAAATTTGTTAGGAGCCTTGGTGGTGCAGTGGACTAAAGTGCTGTTAAGTAGCACTTAGTTGCCAGCTGCCTGCAATTACTGCAAGTTCAAATCTCACCAGGCTCAAGGTTGACTCAGCCTTCCATCCTTCCGAGGTAGGTAAAACGAGGACCCGGATTGTGGGGGCAATAAACTGACTTTGTATAAAAAAAGAACACCGCTTAGGGGGGGCCGAAAGCCCTACTAAGCAGGTATATACAAAAGTATGAACGCTATTGCTTAACGCATTGTAAACTGCCCTGAGTCTCCGGAGAAGGGCGGCATATAAATCGAACCAACTTATTTATTTAGCGTATGGCTGGTCACACACAATATTAAAACACTTCATTTTTACAGGTTAAAACAATTAAAACAATTTTTAAAAAAAGCAGTAACAAAACCTAAGAGGAAAACAGAAATAACATTTCAGAGTTTAATGTCGAGTTTGGAGATCCAGTCAGTAGCTGTCGTTGTTACGCAGAGGAAGTCCCTAAAATCTCCTGGATACCTTCTGTTAGAGCATTCCCTCACTATATGTTGGATAGTCTGTCGAGGGGCCCCACAATCACATTGTGCTGAAGGTGTCTTTCCCCATTTATACAAGGAGTCGGCACACACCCCAGGAGTCATTCTAATTCTATTGTATGTCACCCATATGTGTTCAGGTAGATTAAATCCTGGAGGTATACTATTAGGATTAATATGCTCAGAAATATCTTGGGGGGAATAGCTACTCCACGCTTCCATCCACTTTTGTGTGGTGTTCTGATGATCGGCCAGCAGCTTAAGCGCTGTCAAGAGTGGTGGGTTTCTTGACTTTAATCAGCATCTTAAGAGATCAGGAATGTAGCCATGAATGGGTAGAGAGGAATTTAACAGGATCTTACTATACTCCCGAATGAGAGCTTCTTGTCGAACTCAATAAATCGAACCAATAAATAAATAAAATAAATAAATAAACTGTATCAACTGAGTTGGAGAAGGTGAGAAAACAAGAACACTTAACAGTAAGAATTAAGTTTACATTTCTTTCAGAATTAAAATCCTCTCTTAGGGCCATCAGCAAGATTCATTAGATGGCTTTGCAATTCAACCTCAGATGGGTATAAAATAAAACCGTAGAATAGTATATGGTACAGCAATTAGCAAGTAATCATGTCCAAGAGTGTTAGCATATAAACAGCAAAAGACATGTTGTCTAAGGCGTGCAAGTTAAAAGCATCCGTCC